TGACATCTGCACAGACTCTTCTCCTGCAGTTGGCTATCCAGGCTATGGGAATAGGGCCAAAGCACACCTCACACCCCACTTCACACCTGGACACTCATCCTGCTCACTGCATGCTGCCCCGTGTCCTGTTTGAAGCCAGCACCATGCAGCTGGGTCTGTGTCTCTAGTACTTCTTTACACGGCACTGAACCCACAGTGGACAACTGGTAGGTAGCAACAGTCAATAATCAGTAATTAACAAAGATACAATTGTGATTTTTCATGTTACCAAGCACAGGTCAGGTACTACATGAAAAATGCCATCTGCCGTGGCAGACAGGTCTTGTGCTTTTCTTGCATCTCAGCAAGGGGCAGAGGGGACATTCCTTTTCTCAACTCTCTTCTGACAGCCAACAGGTCGTTCCTGAGGAGCCACCAAGCCTGTTAGAGTCTGTGGCAGCCAGAGGCCTCTTTGTGTTAGGTGTTGGTACTGTGCCTAGCACAATGAAGCCTGAACGACGACTGAGGTCCTGAGGCTGAGCTACAGTACAAATAAATAATGTTAATGAAAAACAATCATTCCCACTAGAAGACTTGCCTTACCAGGTCTAGTGAGAGATTTTGGGATTACCTTCCTCATGAGAAAAACTCAGCTCCTTGGCAGTCCTATGGAAAATAACTTAGTCTCCATGCCTGAAAGATAAGGGGTTGTGACAGGGGAGCAGCTGGTGTTGTAAGGTGTGCAACCAAAAGGTGAGCTGAGTTTGCTGATGGTTTCCTCTCTGGGAAGCCTCATGAATCATGTGCCTTTGCCTTCTCTCTCCCTCCCCTTGGTCTCTGGGTCCAGGCCCCAGCAGCCAGTGTGGGAGACACTGCTTTGGGCTGGATGTGGCTTCACAAGTGTCTGAACTGCCCTTAGGGCCCTTCCAAGCACAGGGGAGAGGTGAGAGCCAGGGAGAAGTCTGGGAGGATGGAAAGGTGCTGTGGTGTTATTTACACACAAACCAACGCAGTAATTTTAAAGGAAACCTGCCTTCCCAAGAGATGACCCCATGACTAGAGAGATTTGTGCTAGAGAGAGGCAACAACTGCAAGGTGCTACTGCTAACCAACAAAAAAAGAAGCACAGACAGTCAAAGAGTCTTAATACCATGCCTGGATCACACTCTGGAAGCCTCCTCTTCCCCTTCCCCCTCTTTTCTCATTCCCACTGCTTTTAAGACCAAGAAAGTTTCACATTTAGACATGGGTTTTGGCTGTTGTGGGAAGCACATGGTTTCTGAGGGCCCCATCGCTGCTCTAGCTGAGCCTCCTCTGGGTTTGAGACAGCAGGTCTGTGTAAATTTTGGATCTCAGGAACCTGGGATACGAGTCTTTCTCCATCAGGCTGTGCACCTTCCCCTGAGCTTGGTCAAAGCAAGAGAGGGAGGGCTCCTGCACATTTCTTCTCGTCAGCTCCCGTGTCTGGAAGTCTATGTTCACCTGGGGAAAGTAGCAGAAGAGAGTTTGGTACTGAGTGTTGAGTTTGGCTCCTTTGAATGGCACAATCTCTTTCAGCCATGGTTGTCAAAGCAGCAGCAGAACCAAGGTCCTACCCTCATCCATGCCTAAACAGTCCCCAGGACTTTGTGAGGTTTAGTGAACCAGTGCTATGAATCTTTCCCCAAGCCTGGAAAAGCTGAGCAGGATTTATAGTGATCTGAGCAATTCTGAAATCAAATTACTTCTGTTCAGGCCCTTATACAGCACATCACCTAAAACTGCTGACTCAGCCTAACCTCTCTACTGTCAACCATGACTTCTCTATATCCATTATTCTTTACTACAAGCAATATATGGGTGAATGAACTTTTAGCTGGGTTTAAACTATCAGTGCATTCTTATTAAATGTGTTTTAAACTCAGTTGATCTACAATAAATTGTTTGATTTTTCCCATAACAGCTTTGTGTTACAATATCTCGAGCAGAGGCTTGAAAAAATAAACCACCCTGATGTTATGACTGCAATGGGAGTTTTCCTGTTTTCTTGCCCTAGCAAAGAGATCAGCATTTGTTAGGGTTATTGTTTGGGAAGAAAAATGGCTGAAAAGATGTTATTTGTTGCTATTAACCCAATGTCCAAACTTAAAGGAGTCTGGAAAATGATCCAGTCTGCCTTAATGCAGATGACAGCAATGTAGATTAGCTCTCTGCGTCACTTAAGGGTCATTTCACATTCTAGCTTGCCAAAATTATGGTAACAGAACCAAATTTTAGGAAAGACCCTGTTCTAGCTTCACTCACAGTTCTAATCCAGATTCAGCCCTCCAGTCCTTAAAATCTCACCGAGCTTCATGAATAACAGCAGGAAGATGCTCACAGAGAGCAGTGGGCACTAAGTGTGGCCTGAGACACACATACATCACAGTATAAATCTGAGTCCTGCTCAGTGGCCTCACAATAGCCTTTATAGCTCAAAGATGGAGTAAAACAAGTCCTTTGAGGGGCCTCCCCTTGCAGACACCTGCATTGTGCAACTGAGCAGGAGGCACCGCTGTGGGAGAGCAGTGAGAACCCTCCTGGTTGTGTTACAAATACAATAACACAGCCCAGCATCACGACACAGGATCTGGCAGTCACATCAGCCTGTCAGTACTTGAAGGAGGACTTAAAAATTCCAGGCTCTGGGTTGTGACTGCATTTTTTGTTCAGCTCAGGGTTATTGTTCGCGTCTTTTAGGAAGTCTAATTGAGTTGGGAGTTAGTCAGCAGATAAACACTTCTCCTTGGAGAATCAACAAGTTAGTCATTCGTGGGATGATCCTATGGAAAAATGTCCTGCAAGAAATGAGCCCAATAACCTGCTGAGAATGGATAGTAAATGAGAGGAGCAAGGTGAAATGTTCCTCGGAATCTTGTAGAGGTTAGGAAATGTAGGTTGTGGTTGCCAGTGAACTCACTGGCTGTGACTAATTTAGTATCATCAAAGCAGTTGCCCTCACCAGGGATGAGTCACTACAAGCAGAGGCAGCTGTAACAGGCACGATGGCATTCCCACCCTCCTTATCCTCTCCTCACCATCACCTCTGGCAGGGGAGGGAGGGAGGGCTCCCTGTGGCACCCCACAGGTGCCAGCTGGGGGAGAGGGATGTGCTCCCTGAGGCACAGGGATGCTCTGCCAGTCTGAGGTCTGGCACACTCACCTCTCGAGGGGCCTGCACATCAATGAACTCCTCGAAGATCCGCTGGGCCTTGGAGGCCAGCTTGGCTGCAGAGCGGGTCTTCTTGAAGTCCTCGCAGGCGAGCCAGAACTCCAGGTTCTCCTCGCTGAACTCTGTCTTCAGGAAAGCACGGAAAGCAGCCAGACCATCTGCAAGAGAGACGTGGGGAGTTACAACGGGAGGAGAAAGAAGGCAGGGAGCTGCCTCTTTAACAGACACCCTTCCATCCACCCCCACCTGCCAGAGGCCATCTGATCTTTCTCCCAAAGTCTGCGATCCCAGGATGTGTCTATAACTTCCACCACTGCATCAGCCAAACTCTTATAAGCTGCCGTGAAGCCAAACATCATTTGCTGCTGCTCAGAAAAGGTGTTTTGCCAGCTAATGTGGCAAAAGGTTTTCCTCAAGACTGGGACACCCAACCTCTGAAAAGTTCCTCATGGAATCATCAAGCTTCACCAACACTTCTCTTTGCACCTTGTGTATGTTAACAAAACGCTTTGTAACGTCCTATCTGTCATTAAGAAAAACCCTTAATAAAACGTGGCTGCTGTGGACTTGTCTCCTCTGTTTTCTCTCACTTTGCTTTATTACCCTGTGCCATTTTTAGTTCTTATTTAAACAGAGGAAGGATCTTGGAGAGTGTGTTACAGCTACAATAAAGGGGAGAGGAAAAGGACGCAGCATAATTACAACTTGTCTAGTCAGTGGTAAAAGTGCTCTTATCACTTGCTAATGCTTAGCAATTGTGACATTTCAGTAATGTAATCTGAGTCAGTCAGGGCAGATTAGAAATATGGAAAGATTTATTAGGCAATGTGTACTCTTAAACCCTTGCCTGGGCCTATTTATGGACGCAGCTATTGTTTTTTATTTCCTTCCCCTGAATGGCACCAGCAGGGTTGAAGTAGCTGAAGGCTTCACATATATCTTTTCGCTTTGGGATAAATTTAGTTCCTAATTTTTTTCCAGTAATGTGTTTCTAACTCTTCCTGTAGGGTCTTTTTCTGTAGGGTCTGAGTTTCCATAGTTCATGACTGGAAAACTCTTGAGTCAGCATTGGGTACTTTCAAGAAAGTGTCTAAAGATATTGATGGGATTGGGAATGCGCTTGGCAAGGTCAGACTTCTCGAAAGGATGAGAGAAACAGGTGCATGTGTGCCTGGAAGGGTTGGACAAAGACTGATGAGGATTTGTAGGACCTGAACTCCTGCAAAGGTGTGGGTTGGGAGCTTCACCTGCTCCTCTTCTGCTGTGGGAGATCTCAGCAGTGCAGCCTTCCCTCCTTCCTCCTGTGGCAGGGACATGGGAGCTGCAATGGAGCCCAAGGGGCGATGCTTGATGCTATGGATCATTTTTACACATCCACAGCAGGCCCAGGCCCACCAGGGACAGTGGACCATCTCACAGGATCCACAACAAACTCCCTTACAGCTTTATCCTTGTCTTCATGCCTGCACCAGGTATGTGAGGAGAAACAGCAATCATAGAATCCTAGAGTGGTTTGGGCTGAAAGGGACCTTAAAGATCATCTACGTCCAACCCCCTGCAATGGGCAGGGAAATGTTCTTTCCATTAATAGTGCACCTAACTACAGGTAGGACAAAGAGTTATTAGTAAACCAAAGATTTTATCACAGATTTATAAACAAAAGAGCAGATGCTGAACCTGTAACTTTGGGGAACTGTTTTCTCTCATATTCTTGCTACATATAAACCATAGAATCATATAATGGCTGGGTTGGAAGGGACCTGAAAGATCACATATTTTCCAATCCCCTGCCATGGGCAGGGACACCTTCCATTAAACCAGGCTGCTCAACTCCCCACGCAGCCTGGCCTTGAACACTTCCAGGGATGGGGCAGCCACAAATTATCTGGGCAACCTGTGCCCTCACAGTAAAGAATTTCATTCTAATATCTAATCTAAACCTGTGTTCTCACAAGAGCAGAGCAGAGGGACAGAATCCCTCCCTCACCTGCTGCCCATGCTGCTTTTGATGCAGCCCAGGGCACAGTTGGCCTTCTGGCCTGCAAGTGTACATTGCTGGCTCATGTCCAGTCTCTCATCCAACAGCACCCCCAAGTCTTTCTCAGCAGGGCTGCTCTCAACCCCCTCATCCCCCAGCATGGACTGATACTGGGGGTTGCCCTGACCCAGGTGCAGCACTTTGCACTTGGTCTTATTAAACCTCATGAGATTCTCCTGGGCCCACATCTTGAGCTTGTCCGGGTCCCTCTGGATAATCCTAACATCTTTGAACAGTTCTGCTGTATGTTATCAATGCTATCTATATGCTATATACATATATAAGCTATAAAAGCCATCTGTATGCTATGGATCTTTAGCAGTGTAACACTGCCCTGTTTCTCCCTTGTGTCTCCTAATCTTATTCCTGCTTCTCTTGTTTCCGGTAATAATTTAGGACATGGAGATATTTTTCAGC